TAGTTTTTCTGATGTTGGTTTTGTAATGTTGAACGTTTTCAAAATTTAACTTTTTTGTATCAAAACTAGATCTAACCTGATAAACTCGATCTAACCAGATAAAAGAGTTGTATTAGATATAAAAAGATTTTTTATTTGCAAGTTATTCTGTTTGTTCCAATTTGCAGATCAATCAACTAAATTAGATAATTGTCTAATTAGATCAATTATCTAAATTAGATTAAAAAATTTTTTTATTATTAAATATTAAGGAATTTTTTCTCATAAGGACGTTAAAATTTTGTCAATTAGTTAATTACCTACTTCTTGAATATTTCTGCCAACATGGAACTTTTTAGTTGAGCCTAATAGAAACAAAGACATGTATATTTTGTGCCGTATTTTGTTATACAATACATTTTATATTTAAAGAAGCTATTGGCTTCGCAAAAAATCTACAAATATTCTTAATGCTAAAGAAACCATCTGTTTGTATACCGAATTTCTTGTTTACTATCTATTTGTATCCTAAATAACCTAAATACTAAAGCTCTAACTTTTGACAGCACGCTCTTTATTTACCAATTAGAGCGATTGACTTAATTGTGATTGACATCGCGATTGACAGCCTTGCTGACATCGTGATTGACAGTCTTGCTCCTAATTTTATCATAACATAATTTTAAAAAAATCTTTCTATGCTTGTCTTAAGTGCGTGAGTCTTAAGCACTTTTCATTTTTTTAATTGAAAAACAATTGTTAGACAAACATTAATAAAAAGATTGAGTTCGTCGGCTTTTAAATATCTTAATGTGAGCATCGAGAAAGAAATATATGCGTATGATCTTATTTTTTAGAACAATCATTTATTTACTTACTGAATTTGTCTATTAAAAAATGTGTTTAAAAGATGCAACATACCTACAAATAGTAAGAAAACAATTATTTGTTTCAAAATGTATCTTTAAGATTGGACATTCTAAAAAGACTGTAATTTGTTTGCTTCAAGTACAAAAAAAGCAGCTAGAACTAATTTTACATAGTAAACCGTTAATTAGAACTTCTAATAATTTTTTAATACGCAGCACTTTAAAAAGAAACTATTAAAACGCTGCACTTATCTCAATTTCTCTGCAAATGTTTTTTCTTTTACTAACAAATCACAACTGCAAAATTTTCAGAACCAGTTGAGTATGATTTTGTTGACAATTATTATCAACCTTTATTATTTATGCTAAAATTTTTTGACATAAAATGCACTTGATGAAACATCAAAGAACTTTTAAACCTGACTATTTGTTCCTTCTTTCTCCATTTTCTTAATTATTTTAGGTACTCCAAAAAGTCTTAACGGTCTTATCACATTGCACCGCGGAGGAGAATTTGAAAGGAAGTTCACGCTTCCTTCCTTACCAATGTTATAATTGTCCAGAGGTGGCGTTGATCCGCGAATCTCTTCTAGCTTCTGAGGCAAGCACGCTAACCACTGCGCTACGGCTGCTCAAATAAAAAATATTTACATATTATCTTTATACTGGCTATTTGTTACCGTGATTTTTTTTCACTTAGAAGACAATTAAGTCTTTTGAAAAATGAAAACTTTAAAATTCGAAAAAAGAGTTGAATGGTTTAATAAGCTGTTGAAACATTTAAAATTCAATATACAAAGAAAATCTACGGGTCTTAAAAACCTTATAGAGTTGTGAAGATTATTCAACTATTGAGATTAGAATTATAAAAAGCTATAAGTAAGAGTTTTTTAAAATAATTCATGATCATTTTTTTTTTATTTGGTAGTGTTAAGGTTAAGATTGTGGAGAATAAGAAAAGTTGTACTAAAAGTGTTTGCTAGTATTATTCAATTTTACTCCTCCAGCTAATTGGCTGACAGAGCCCACATAAAAATCTGAAGAAAACAAGTTTAACTCTATTAGACCATCGTGACCTGGCTCCGAGTAATCGAGAGTAAGTGAGTTTTGGAAAGAAGATACTAGTGGAAAAGTCAGAAGTAATCAAGTTATAAGATCAAAATAGCATAGTAAAAGCAGATGGACCGTTTATTTGAAAAAAAAAAAGTTAGTAAAGAATCTCCTCATTACGAATTCAAAAGTTTCAGTGTGCATTTTTCTTCAAGGAAAGCACTAATAAGTAATAGTTTGGATGTGCTTCATTCCAATATTCTGTCCCAGGAAAAAATGTTCTATAGAATTTTATTAAACTTTTGAAACATACTATAGAATTTCTATATAATGTCTATTAATTTTTCATAGAAACTGTTGTAGAACGTTTTTTTTCTGAAGAAAAAAAAAGTAGCTAAAAAAAGTTCTATAGGAGTTTCTATAAAAATTAACAGAGACTCTATAAAAATTCTATAGAATTCTATAAAATTTCTATAGGCTATATGTTTCAAAAGTTTATAGAAATTCTATAAACTTTTTAAAAAGCAATTCACTATTCTCCTTATATAAAACGCATTATGGTATTTATACGCGAAAGTAAATAACAAACTAAGTTGAGTAAAATGAAAGAAGATTGTCTCAATAGACTCTATTTTATTCCACACCTTTTAAATTTTTAGTTCTAATTTAAAAACTATATTATTAGGGTAAACCTTGCACTATATAATACTTTGAAGAAAAGGTAATAACAAGTTCACCAAACGATGTTTTTTAACTAAAAACATGTTGTGTAAATGCTTTAACAACTAAGTAAATGCTTCAGCAACTAAGTAACTAGTTTTAGTTACTAACTAACCTAAATGCTTTAGAAACTAAGTAGGGTAAGTTGACTACTTTCGGGCAGTTTGCTGAAAATTTACCGTAAACGTTATAGAATATAACGTTTACAGTGGTGACGGCCACCAAAAGCAATAATTTAGGCAATTATTAAATACCATGTTTTTTTTTTGTTTTTTTGTTTTGTTTTTGTTATGAATTTTTTTTTGATGATTTGCACAACTTCGTGCAAGTTTAATTTCGTGCACTTTATTTTATAAGTTAAATTTAGTAGATTTATTCAAGATGCAATACTTAATTCATATATAGTTTTTTGCAAATATTTGCGATTAAATGTCTGACTTAGAGTTGGATAATTGTTGGAACAAAACGTGGGGCCCGCGGCTATTTATTCGGCCTAGTGATCAAACCTGTTTATAGGTTCGATCACTGGGCTTCTGATATATGTTTTTACAGGTCCTAAAAACTAAAAGGTCCTCTTAACCTTTAGGACCTGTAAAAACAAGAGATGATATTAAAAAACTTTAGAGTGTTATATAAGGTACACCAAAAACCTTTTTGGTGAGCCTCAAACATTATTTGTCGAATATTATTCTGAAATGGCACTAAAAATATATCTTTCGTTAATGCTTAAAAGAAAACTAAAAAATACTTATAAATTTTTACAAACAAATAAAATAAAAAACAATTAAAAATTAAACTTAGTCAGATGAATTTACATGGTCTAAATTGGAGAACATAGTCAGATGGATTTACAATGTCTAAATTGTAACAAGGCTGTTGCTACAATCAGCCATGCTAGGATTTATAACATGGTTTTTGCATCTCTTTAAATATTTATCTAAATCTATCTTTATCTAAAACATTTTTTAGCATCACAGTTAACTTTTTTTTTTAATTTTCATGACCAATATCTTTATTTTTAATAACCTTCTGACAAGCTTTTGATGGTAAACTACTATCACTGTTTATATAGCTTTTTTAACAATGAGGTTAGAGGAGTATTTTTTCTCTAGTTTATAATTAGAAAGCTTTAATTTTTCTTAGTTAAATTAGTTTTAATTAAATGATCCAGACAATGCAGAAAGTTTTCCATTATAACTAAACTTAAATTTTTGAACATTTTTTCATTTTCTTGTAAACAGATGTTTCACAAAAATGATTTTAGTCAAATTTATTTTTATTAATTAATACAGCCATTGTTACTCCTTGGTTTAATTCTATATAATAAAATATTGTTTAACTCTAATCTATTTTACACAGTTCTCTTTGATTAACTGGTAACCAGCTGTTTTATGCTTAGCAGCTCTTTTTTCAAAATATCGTCTAATGTTGTCTCAGATACTATATAAGTAAATATTTAATATGTTGATGTTTTCTACAGAGATATTTTCTTATTTCTTATATATATATATATATATATATATATATATATATATATATATATATATATATATATATATATATATATATATATATATATATATATATATATATATATATATATATATATATATATATATATATATATATATATATATATATATATATATATATATATATTGTCAATTTTACACCTTACATTTGATAAATAGATTACAAGGATTTGTAATTTTTGTTTCTGCTTTAAATTAAAATAATAACTGTATTTTAATCTAGAATATATGTCGTTTTTTTTTTTTTTGTACCTTCAAATCCCCCTTCTCTAACAGTTACAGAACCTTGAAGGTCTATAATTACGCAACTGACCTAAAATAAGATACTATGTGCAGCCGTGGCGCAGTGGTAACCTTCTTGCCTCAGAAACAAAGGATCCGTGGTTTAAACCCAACCTCTGGGCAATTTTTGCAACATCGGTTAAGAAGGAGGCGTGAACTTCCAGTTAAATACTCATCCGCAGTGCTCTGTGATAAGACAGTAGGACTTCTTTGGCCACCTAAATAGAATTAAAAAAAAAATAAGTGTAAGAATTAAAATGTAAAATATTTACTTAGTAAAGAAGATGATCTGAGTTTGATAGAACTTATATATATATACAAATAGTTTTATGTTTCCTAAACAACCACTATTTTATGTTTCCTAAGCAGCATTCTTTGTATAAGATAAATATATAAAAACAGATAACTATTTTTTTAAATGATTCAATAGAAAAACATACAACCAAAATTTAATATTGAAAATCCAAAACTATGTAATATAAAATCTAATGTTAAAAAAAAAATCAAAACAGTTCAATGTTTAAAATGTAAGAAAATATATAAAGAGTTAGGGTTTTAATTTATGTAGGTTGGTGTGAACCACAAAAACTAAAAAACAAAACTGAACTATGCGACGAGGTAGCAACGTTTATACCAAGTTTTTGTTATCATTCAGAAGCACTTTACAACTGTGAAAAGTATTGCGAAAATAAAGGTATTTTTTTTAACTTTTATTTTTTTAAAAAAAATGTTAAAATCGTGTGTTGAACACAGCTACAACAATTTATTGTTTTACAAACGTTAAACAAAATGTTAAACAAAACGTTTAAACGTTTTACAACGTTAAACAAACAATAAATTAATTAATACAAACGTTTTAAATCATTTAATTAAAGTTTTATAACCATTTAAACAAAAGTTTTAAAGCCATTTAAACTAACGTAGTAAAATCATTTAAAAAAACTATTGCGAAGAATTTTATAAAAGTTATAAACATTCATACGAAAGTATGTTTATAAAAAAGCTTTTTAAGAGGAAAACTCTAAATTCTCTTTCTTTTTTGAGTTAGACGATACCCTGCGGGCATTTGTTTTTAAAAGTTACGCTCTAAATGTCTTTTAAACGTTTTTTAAACGTCTTTTAAACGTTCTTTAAGTAAAAATGATTAGAAGACGTTTTAAAGACATTGAAAATACATTTAGAATGTAACTTTTAAAAACAAATGCCGCTGGGTAAAGTCAGGGATACTCCTTAAAATACGCAACCCAAAACATAAAACTTTAAACTGTAGAAGTAGGAGATTATTTTGCACTCATGCGCGGTGATTTTTACCGCTGCTTACATACTTGGTTGAATTAAATTTCTTTACATATTTCGTTGAATTAAAGACAAAACAAAAATGATAAAAAAATTTCCCTCTCCGAGGGAAAATTTTTTATCATTTTTGTTTTGTCTATTAGTTTATTGCTCAACGCAAAATATATTTAAAAAACTGAATTAGGAGTTATTTAGCTCTTTTACACGGCGATTTTCGTTTAACTTACGGCGCTAATTTAACTTTTTATTTAAATTAAGATTTTGTGAGGGAAAACTTTTGATCTTTTGTAGGATTTTTAGGATATTTCGGCGAATAATACGACTTATGATATTTTGGCGAATAATACAACGTTATAGATGATGTTTTGATAATGCCATATATATGGGCCTACTGACTCGGTGAAGTTTAGGCAATTACTTTGACTACGTCAAAATGAATTGTTGACTACGAGATATTTCCGTTAAATGATCAAATCTGTGAAATATGAAAAGACGAAAAAAATTAAAATATAAAGGTTTGTAGCGAAAAAACCCAGATAGAAGATTCCTTTTTTTTTTAAATCACAATCGTTTGTTCAAATTTAAATAAGATTTTGAATAAATACGTTATTTAGGTGAAATACACATTATAGTTTAATAATATGTTCTTATTGTTTATTGTTTATTGACAAGCTTTTTCTTGCTCGGAATTCTAGTATTTTTGGTGAAAGTTAATAAAAATATTGTATATTGATCACTATATATAGTTAATATACGTCAGAACCGATTAGAACTAGGATCTATAGTGGGTTAAGGCACTTTTTCAAAAGATTTTAACTAATTTCACATTTACGCCAATGAGCGAAATTGATCTAAAAATATCAAAATTGTGTTCTTAAGATTCACTATCAGGGGGTAGTAAAAAGGTTTTGAAAATTTTATAAAAAAAGAAAAGTTTCTTTAAATTTTGAAAGAATCTGAAACAAAATAAAAAGACACCTTCTAAAGCTTTTGTTTGAACATAATACGCTGATAAAATCATACTAATTTCAAATAAAAGAATTCGAATAATATGTAAATTGCCTTAACTACTCCAATTAGTTTGTTAAATCTTTTTATATTGCATTTTTGAAAACCTTTTTCCTGGTTTTCTAAAAAATGACTTTTTTTTGTAAACAAAGTTGTAATTTATCAATTTTCTAGGCTTACTTGAAAAACTAAATTGAAAAGTGCTAACATTATTTTGCAATTAAATTAAGGTCATTCACTTAAATATTTTGGATAAAAGAAAACTAAATGAAAATAAAACAAAATTACATAGGTTCAAAGTTCCTACTCCAAAGGTAAAAGTTTGCTGTTGGTCATTTATGGTATTAAATGCTGGCAACTCTAGCTATGATAACTATGCCACTAAAGTAGTTTAATAGAATAATAACAGTCAAATATACAATAAATAAACAAAATAACAGTGATGCAGAAATAAATAAACAAGAACAAAACAAAAACAGTCACACATTTTAACAACATCAATATTAAATCAACATCAAACAATCTTGTTTCTTCATACATGTTATTGGAGGTTGTCTTTTATGTTTTATTTTATTTCTTTATTTTTTCAAAAGTTTCAAGAATGGTTATTTTAAAGTTTATTTAAGGTAAGTTTATTCCAGACCGACCATTTTTTTTTACTTTTTTACTTCAATATTTTTTAGCAAGTTAGTTCAGTAGTTTTTAGCTAGTTTAGTAAGTAGAACAATAATTCATTTAAAAATTGCACTTAAATAAAAAAAAAAAAAAAAAAAAAAAAGTTAATCTTCACATTTTTTTTAATGATTAATTTGTACTTAATCAATTAAATTTATCTAAATGATTACATAAACACATCAAGTATATCTACAACGACAATTGTACAAGATAAGTATTTCTACAACAACAATTATACAACATAAGTATCCTTAAAACGACAATTAAGTGACATTTCTCCGGTGACTAAGACAACAATAAAGACTTTAAAGACTATAATAAAGTTCCAGTATATTAAATTTAAAAAGCAAAAGAGCACCCTTAAAATGCGTCATCTCCGCCAAGTAGGTCAAGTAAGTCAACTTTATCTGTTATGAATATGTATTCATGTAACAATTTTATTTTTTCAACATAAAAAATGAGCTAACGATTTATTTTTAATCAGACAAAGACATAAACAATCTCTTTTTAATATGAATAAGGAAAATTTACGAAGTTCTGTCTGGTTCAAATGCGATAAATTAACTTTAAAATATTGACAAAACAAAATGAATTCTTTTCCGTTCCACAACAAAAAAAAGTCTTTTGCCAAAAGATTTGCCTAAACCTTTTATCAATAGAATAGAAATTAAAGAAGATTCCTTTATTAAGTTTCTTGATATTTATCTTATAGATATATAATCAATATAGAAAAACTATCAAAAATTGTCTTTTTCATACTGAATATATATCGTCTTTTTCATACTGAATATATATCTAAAATTGATATATATTCAGTATGAAAAAGACATCGTCTGGAGTATGAAAAAGGCATCGTCTGGAGAATGTCCATCGGACGTCTCACGCTGACATAAGGCTAGAACTTAATTAAATAGAAATAATTTAGAACAACTGTACTATTTGCTCATTCATAGCTATATAAAAAATGTCAATATTGCCTAGGGAGTACATGTAAAAGTAAGTTACGACGACTTTATCAGCATCAGAAACATGCAATACGCGTAATATTTATATTTATTTTTATAAACGATTAGTAATTGAAATATTTAGTTTAAATAGTATAATAGAGATTCTTAAAGGGTGTGTTGTATCAAATGGCATCATACTTATCATTTAATGTTTCAAATGGCATCATACTTATCATTTAATGTTTTAAATAGAGGAGAGTAGGGAGAAGTCTTTTTTTAATAAAGTGCACCAAACAATTTTACAGATTTCATCTTCTAAGATTGACAGCATGTTAATAAAGTACTGCACCAAACAATTTTACTGATTTCATCTTCTAAGATTGACAGCATGTTAATAAAGTACTGCACCAAACAATTTTACTGATTTCATCTTTTAAGATTGACAGCATGTTAATAAAGTACAAAATTTTTTGATTTCAGAGGAAACGTGACATTGTAAAGTAGGATGTTTATGGGGTGAGGCGGGACAAGCGAGTAAATAACAACTTGTTAACAAAAACTATTATTCAAAAACAAATAAAATTGTAAACCAAGTAATCTTTATCAAAATATTTAAGAGATTTCTACAAAATATTTACACAAATAAAAATGTGGGAGGAATAGGATGTCAATCAATTTTCTTTGTCCCACTTCATCCCTCAAAAAGTTGTTTTTTCGTAGCAATTTTAAACCACAAAAAAAGGTTTTGATCACACGGGAGACAAAGCGCTGTCCGCTAAATAGAAAAAATGAAACCTTTTTGTTTACATTAGATAACATTGTTTTAAGATATAGTCGCTTTTTTAAGGAATATAGTTTTTTTTTTGTTTTTGTTTTTATATATATATATATATATATATATATATATATATATATATATATATATATATATATATATATATATATATATATGTATATATATATATATATATATATATATATATATATATATATATATATATGTATATGTATATAACTTGAGTATTATTTGAGATAAAAGTTTTAAATTTAACAAACCTATGGCTAAATGGTTGATGGTGGGCCCCTATTAGAATTTTGTAAAAATACAGAGCCAAAGTAAAGTGGCAGATATTAACCTGTAAAAATCATTAAAAATGGTTCGTGGGGTAAGTAAAATTTTAAATTCTGGTTGAAATAAAAAGTATTTTTTTGATTATTCTACTACCAGCCCTTTTTACAACATCAATGAACAAACTGTGAAAATTTCATAGAAAAAGAGTAAACAGTTTCTGAGATAACAAGTTTAAAATTAGTTTAAAAATATTTGAAAAATATTATTCTGAGAAAAACAGCTTTTAAAATAAAAATTTTCATCAACTATAAAAATCTCTAATTAAAAAACATACAAACTGGCCACAATAATATGATTAACCACCTTTAATATTTTTTTCTGTGTCAAAATAACCTTTTTACAATACCAACGAAAAAATTGTGAAAATAGGGTAAACATATTAACAGATATGGTTGATAAGGCGGTTTTTAGGGATTCGAAAATTACCTTGTTGCCTTTGAATACTAATTTAAGCACATTATATTGATTTTTAAAGGGAAAAAAATTATACTCGTGATCTAGGATGTTCAAACTGTTAAAATTTTAAAAAAAAATTTTGTGTTTTTTGATGTTTTTAATAGGGTAGTACCACCTTAAAATGCCCAAAAATTTAACACAGTATGTACGTTGTAACTTGGTTTTTTGTTGAGTGTTTGTTGGCTTTAAACCATTCATTAAGGTTATCAAGCTCACTATTCATAGTGGTAAAGATTGTCTTAATGTTAGAGTGAGGATAAAACACTTGAGTGTCGTCAGCAAAAAGAATAAAATTTAGTATACTAGATTATAAGTAAATATCGTTGATATAAATGATAAACAACAAAGGCCCTAGAATAGGTCCTTGTGGAACTCCGCAGCTAATGTTTCTTAATTGAGTGTAGGTTTTGCGATACCTCAAGCTCATCCATTACATAGTCCTTTTCTTTTAGATATGATTGTAAATTTTTTTTACCCTGGTGTTATTTTGTTTGCTAGGTTTTTGCCAACGTTTATAAAAAAGTTATTGAAACTGTTTGCAATATCTTTTTTCTCATTAGTTATTGTTCTTTCATTCTCAGTATATAAATATTTCGGTAATTAATTACCACGAGTTTTCTTTTCTTTTTCTATCGTTTCATTTATTATATTATTTTGTAATAAACTTGAGAAATAATTTTTTTTTAGCTTTTTTTTTTCATGTTTTCAAACAGGTTTTAGTAAGTTTTATATTTTTTTTCGTTTTGATAAGTTTTTTTTCTTTAATATTTTTCATAAAGTTTTTGTTTTTTCTTATAAGATTTAATAAGTCCTTTTGTAATCCATTGACTTGGTTTTAATTTCCTTCATTGGAAACGCTTTGTCGTACCCATGAAAAAACTCGTTGTAAAAAAATGCAAAAGCTTTATTTGTATCTTTACAATTATGTAGGTTTTTCCAGTTTACTTTGAGTAAATATTTTCTAAATTCCTTAACATTAAATTTAGTAAACTGCCTTTTTTTTCCGTTAGTACTTTGCATTTCTTTTCTTTTTTATAAAATTCAGATATAAAAAAAAGTGGTCGCTTATATTGTTTTTTATGTTTCCGTTTGAATGTTCCATATTGTTAAATTGTAAGTAAAAGTTTTATCAATGAGAGATTCGATTAGAAGAGTTACACGAGTAGGCTTGCTTATTAAGGGAAGAATGTTGTATTGAAAAAAAGAAAGTTTAAGAAACGTTTTATATCGTTATCAGTTTTAACAATAAGTGGATTTAAGTTAAAGTCCCCCGTGATGTAAATTTGTTTATTTTTTACTTTTTTTAAATACCATTTTAAGTGTTTTTGAAAAGATTTTTTTTCCGTATGGTCTATACAAAACAGTTATTATAATGTTTTATTTTATTGCGGCATTATATATTTAATAGTTAATGATTAATCTGCATTTTAAATGCTGAGAATTTCTATTTTCTGATAATGGATTGACTCGTGAATAAAAATGCATATAGCGCCACCAACATCACCACCTCGAGTTTGGTGAATTGCTATATAACCTGGAATTTGAAAATTATTTTTTTCACTATTACACCATGTTTCGATTAAACATATTCAAAATTTATTCAAAATTTACAATTTTTAGCATTGATTTAAAATTTTCAAAGTTTTTACTCATACTACATATGTTTAAAGTTAATGTTGAAAATAACGAGTGTGACGCATTCATGAGATTAGAAAATTTCTACATAACAAAATAGTTTGAGTCGATTATGACGTCCTTAAAAAGGTTTACATCTGGATCAATGTCATTATTCAAAAGAATTGTGTTTTGTTTATTAAAAATTCCTAAAAAACTTGTTGCATTTAATGTGTTAGCCATTTTTATTATTAAAATATGCAAAAGTAAGATTAAAATTATTTTCTAGCAGTATCATTATGTCTTATTGTAATCATTTTTTTAAATAATAAGTTTGTCATACCTGAAATAACGTTTTCGCCTTTTTTCGATTTTCTTTCTTTCGCTTCTGTAAATAACTTCTTACAAAGGTTTGCCGTCTCTTGCGAGAATTCTTCATTTGCGTAGATGCTTATTCCTTTTAGTTTTTTTGTTTCTTTTTGGATGTTTAATTTGTCTTTGAATCTCAATAATTTTAATACAATGATTCGAGGTTGGGCTTCCTTTTTAAGACCTACTCGATGCGTTCTTTCAACTTCAACTCTTTTAACTTCTAATTTATTGCATAATAAATTTTGAACCTTTTCTTAAGTTTCATCCCAGCTTTCATTTCCATTTTCACGAGTTTCAACTATTCTTAAGTTATGTCTCGTTGACCTATCTTCGGAAATTCTGCATTTTTTGTTTAAAATATTAATAATATTTGGGGTTTCAATTTCTTAAACAGCTTTTATCTTTAGGTCTATTAAATATGTTCATGAAACTTTAAACTTTCATGAACATATTTAATAGAAAACGATATTAAAGACTTAAATCTTTCATATCGTTTTCCAATAAGTGAATTTTTTATCGTATTCCGAAGATTTTTTCCAATATTATCTATGCGTGCGTTGAGAATTTTTAAGTTATCACTAAGTAAATCAACGAATACTTTTGCATGTTCTTTAAATAATAATTGTATTTCTTTCTTGTGTAGGATAAACATTTCTTGTATTTCTAATAAAACATTTCTTGTATTTCTTTTTTTCTTCCTGTTAAAATTAGGTCTGTTTATGTAAACTTTGCTCAAATTCTGTATTAAAGTACCAAAAAATTTTTATAAAAAAAGAAATTCCTTAAAAAAATACATGCGACAAAATACGCATGCAACAATTTTTCACAAGTTTTTAATTTTAGTTATTTATTATATTTTCAATAGTGTATCGCCTAAACTGTGGAAAAGTTTCGAAAGAAAAAAGATTTAGAAGAATAATTGGAGGCAGTCCAAGCGAAGAAGGACAATGGCCTTGGCATGTCAGTCTTCAATATCAAAGAAAACATTTCTGTGGCGCTTCAATACTATCAAAGCGCTTTGTAATAACAGCGGCACATTGCGTAGGTTAGTGGATTAATACTATTTACATAAAAGTATTAGTAGATTAATATTATTAACGTAAAAGTATTAGTTGATTAGTATTACTTACATAAAAGTATTAGTGGGTTAAAGTTATATTATTATTAGTGGGTAAAACTTCCCCTTAAATTACCAGACCTATTTTTAAATAACATAAAAATAAAAAAACAAGACTATATAAAGTTTTTAGGAATTTATCTTGGCTTCCTCATATTAAATATTTAGAATCAAGAGTTAGTAAAACCATTGGTCTGATGAACCGAATTTGTCAATATGCTGTAATTTCCTTGCAAGAAAACACAACAAGAAATTTTATTCATCTATCTCATCATTAAACTAACTTCAATTTCACCTCCTTCTTACAAAATCAATCGATAATTTATATTATACTACAAACTTCAACTATTCATTTAAACATATTAAATATAATTACTAATTAAAAATTATGCACAAACCGCATAGTTGTCACTAACTGTTTTTAGAGTTTACTACAACATAATTACATATGTAAATACAGGTTGTCTAAAGTTAATATACTTTTCTTTAATTCATTGTTTCATTAACAATGCTAATATTATATGGGCTAGTACACATCCATCAAAACTTAAAAAAAATACATAGTTTGCAAAAACATGTGTGTAGAATTATTTACGGGAAAAAAAGAGGAGAGCATACGTAACCCTTAATAAGAAATATGAAAATGATGAATCTATATAAAATAAATTTTTATCAGCATCTAATTTTCATGTATAAATATATTAATAACCTAACTCCAGCTAATTTTATTTGTAAGTTTGAGAAAAATTTAAATTGTAAAGCATTTTTTTAAGAACAAATCGATCACATTCCTTTAAACTGCCAAGGAAATTAAATAAATATACAGAATATCCAATAGCATATCGAGGACCTAAGTTATGGAATCAAAAAATTATGAAATTCATTTCAAAAAACTATGGTTAAATCATTAAACTCATTTAAGTTTGAAGCAAAAAAAAATTTAATTTTGCGGAAAAATCGTGAAAAATCGTGAAAAAAAAATGAATACTTATTATTCTTAGTAGTTACTAATGATATACGTTTATTTTAATGTATTAATTACACAAAATATTACAAAAAATTTATTGCATTAAATTTGATACTTGTTCTTACATAATTTTGATATGCTGAAGTCAAATCTGGAATTGAATTTTTATGGAAAGCTACAGATTTTTTGCAATTTATATTTTTTTAATTTTGCAAAACAGTAGAAATAGTTCTATAATACTGATTTGAAACTCATTTGGAAATGCTAGGATATACTTCTTAGAATAAAAGTTTTTTACAAACCTAAAACAAAAAAAGAAAGAAAATGAAAAAATAAATATTTTTCAAATATCCAAGTTCTAGCAAAGTTATTAACTTTTTATTGATTAATAACAAAATCTTTTACTTTAGTAAAAGATCAAAATCTTTTATACTTTAGTTTTAAAAAAGATTGCAGATTATATTGCTTATTTATAACTACTTAATCAGGAAGAAACTTTTGCTTGTTGCTCTTTCGTTTATAAACTTTTCCTGTGTCTTTTCGCTTGATGCCCCAGCAGTAGTATGCCATCGTGTGTATGTCTTAGGATCTTGATGGAATCGCTCTCCTTGCTCTTCACTCACATCTCCAAGATTTTCAGGAAACTGGTCAAGATGACTATTTATATAATGAAGCTTTAAACTCATTTTGCATCCAAGATCACAAAAGGCTTTCAACATTTTATCAACTAAATCTGTATAGTTTTCTGCTCCTTTTTATTTCCAAGAAAATTTTTTATAACAATCACAAACGATAACCAAGCCGTTTTCTCTTTGATATTCATCGTTTTAATGAATTCTTTATTTTTTATAAGATAGCGAATTTGTGGCCTGTTAAAAACTCCTGCTTTTTTTTTTCTCTATTGACAATCATGGTAATGATTTAACTATATACTGAAAACAATCACTATCAGTTTTTAGTGCTTTAACAAATTGTTTCATGAATCCAAGTTAAAGATGAAGTGGTGGAAAAACTATTTTGTTTCGACTAACAATCGGTTCATTCGCAATATTTTGCATGCCTACTGTGAGAGTCTTGCGATTGGGCCATTTTGTATCCAGTGTTAATTTCTCGCTCGACTGTCCCACATACAGAGATAACATGGAAATTTTGTAAAACCTTTCTGCTGACCAAGTAGAAAGTTAACCATTTTTAGATCTACACAAATAATCCAGTTGTGTTCATCATATTTAATCAAGTTAAGCACCATTTTAATGTCATCGTAATTTTCTCGCAAATAAACAGAATGACCAATTGGTACAGAACTAAAAGTATTTCCATTGTGCAATATAACGCATTTGAGGCTTCGCTTTGAGCTATCGATAAAAAGTCTCCATTCTGCTGGATTATATACTGAAATACCCAACTGTAGTAGGAGACCTGAAATATCATAACAGTAAACAAATAAATTGACTTCTCAAAAAAAGTAAACAAAAGTTTTATCTCTTGTTCTAAAATAAGATACTTTTGCAAAGTTATCAAGTAGGTTTTCTTTTTTTTTCTTTTAAACGTGACGCTAATACTTCTGCTGCTTGTTTAGAAAGTCCTAAATCACGAACTAAGCCATTCAGTTCTATCTGACTAAATCACAGAGGCAAACTGAATTGTTTAGAATTAGATGAGAAGTCTTCCAAATCTGGTATAAATTCTTCTGTTTCTGTAGCAGACACGCTTTGCTCATCTTCTGACAAAAATAAACCTTTAAAAATTGGAAATGGAATCTCGTTAGAATGTTGAATTGGTCTAATAGCAGAAGGATTGTTGGGATAAGTTATTTTTTGTCTCTTAATTTTGCCAACACCACCCCAGTAAGCACAGATCGTTTTTAAAACGTTTAAAAAACGTTAAAAACCGTTTTAATAGGTTTTTTAAACGTTTTAAAAACGTTCTGTGCTTACTAGGACTAGTATCAACGAGACAAAAATAACATTCATCAATATGATTTAGTGGTTCCCTCAAAACCATAGGGACTCCAAAAGGTAAATTATTTCTTTTTCTTTTTGTCCAATCTTAAAGACTTTCTTCACAAATATGGCATACAGTATGTGGAGCCCACTTTTTTTCTTGGTCACCAAGTTTAAAATCGAAATACGATTCATATGCTAATTTCACAAAATTAGTAATGTTTCGTCTTTGTCGAACAAATGCATAGCAACCACATATATAACAAAATGAGTTAAGATTATGCTTGCACTTATGTCGATTTGAAGAAGGCATCATAATATATATTTGATCTAATAAAAATAATGAGATGGTTTTTTTTTTTATAACTAATGAAAAAACATAATTTTTAAAAAAATGAGAAGTTGAGAATTGCGTTATTGTCAGGTATGACAAACTTATTATTTAAAAAAATGTTTACAATAAGACATAATGATACTGCATAAAAATACATAAAAATAAGTTTCAATATCTCATGCAACAGAAAAAAAGTTTATATTGTAGACCTGTGTTATCAAATCTTTTTGTATATGTTTGTATTTATTTCTTTGAATACCTAAAATTGCAATGTAGTTACTGCAAAATATCTTCGTATATGTTAAAATAAGTTTTTCTTGTTATATCTTTAGTTCATTATATATATATATATATATATATATATATATATATATATATATATATATATATATATATATATATATATATATATATATATATATATATATATATATATATATATATATAGTCTTGCATGTCTCTTGCGTAGCATCAAAAAATATTTCCCATAAACTGTAGTTTTCAAGAGCGCGTTAATAAACCAGACCAGAAAAAGTTTTAAAAATTAAATTTTTTTTTTTAATTGATAGACTGCCTGGCCAAACCAAACCCTCAGTCGATGTAGCAGCACTCCCTTGCGAGTCAGGCTATTTGTCAGTCGTTGTAGCAGCACTCCCTTGCGAGTCAGGCTATTTGTCAGTCGATGTAGCAGCATTCCCTTGCGAGTCAGGCTATTTGTCAGTCGATGTAGCAGCACTCCGTTGCGAGTCAGGCTATTTGTCAGTCGATGTAGCAGCACTCCGTTGCGAGTCAGGCTATTTGTCAGTCGATGTAGCAGCACTCCGTTGCGAGTCAGGCTATAAGATAGTCGATGTAGTAACATTTACGCATGTTTAAAAAATGTTTTTTATTAAATCAATAACAAAAACACCACTAATTAAAAAAAACTTTCTAGTCGTTATAATTGCGGTTTTTTAAAAAATTTTTAAAAAACAATTAAATTTAATGTACTTCCGCATAAATTAATTGCTTTGACATTTCGATGACAATCAAAAACAGCTTAAGAGACGAGGTAATTAAAATTGTAGTCGTAAGAGACTTTTTTTACATTAAAATGCTCTTAAAGCGACACTATATGAGTATATATATATATATATATATATATATATATATATATATATATATATATATATATATATATATATATATATATATATATATATATATATATATATATACATACATATATTTTTTTTTGTTACTTTTATATCTTGGATTTTTACAACTCTTTTTGAATATTTTATAACTTTAAATATCAATATTTTATTATACTAAGGGGCTTTATGAAAAGATTGAGGTGATATTGCATCATCCATATCTTCTTTAAGTCCACATCAATTTTTAGAATTTTTTATTTAATTATATTTACCATGTAAAACTCATCTGTAATTTATTTTAACAGTGAAATATAAAATGAAAAATTATATATATATATATATATATATATATATATATATATATATATATATATATATATATATATATATATATATATATATATATATATATATATGTATGTATATATATATATATATATATATATATATATATATATATATACATGTATATATATATATATATATATGTATATATATATATATATATATATATATATATATATATATATATACATGTATATATATATATATATATATGTATATATATATATATATATATATATATATATATATATATATATATATATATATATATATATATATATATATATATATATATATATATATATATATATATATATATATATATATATATATATGTATAAATATATATATATATATATATATATATATATATATATATATATATATATATATATATATATATATATATATATATATATATATATATATATATATATATATATATATATAGTATATATATATATATATATATATATATATATATATATATATATATATATATATATATATATATATATATATATATATATATATATGTATATATTATTTACATAAAACTATTAGTGGGTTAATATTATTTGCATTAAAGTATTAGTAGGTTAATATTATTTACATAAAAGTATTAGAGGATTTATATTATTTACATAAAAGAATTAGTGGAATAATACTATTTACATAAAAGTTTTACTGGGTTAATATTATTTACATAAAAATATTAGAAGAATCATAATATTTACATAAAAGTATCAGTGGATTTATATTATTTACATAAAATTATTAGTGAATTACAGTTGTTTATATAAAATTATTAATATTTTAGGCCTATTTGTTAACGTAAAAAATGCAAAAACTAATTTATCTAAATAACTATTTCCCCGTAAGTGTTCCATAATTATCTTTTGGTATTCAATTAGCGTTTGATTGGTATTCAATTAGTCTTACACCGGTATTTAATTGAGTTGCGTTCATTAAGTTATTAATAATGCCAGTAGAGTTATTTTATAGACAAGTGATTAATATGATCTTAAATAGACTAATAGCTGTGGAATTTTCTTAGTGCCATTAGAAAGATAATGCTTTTTATTTTTAAATCTGTTTTTTTTTTTTAATTAAAAAAATTTTCAAAGCAAATACAAAATCATTCTAAATCACATAAATAATTGGGACTCCTAAAGTTTGGTCCTACGATAGCAAATGAACTTGTTAAAGGTTCCCAAAAATCTAAAGCTCATTAAAAATTTTTACTAGTTGTTTGACTTGTAAGGGTTAGAATAAATTTAGAAGATTATACTCAAAAATTACTCCATAACCCCCGAGTATAAGGTAACTAAATGTTTATTGTAGTTTTATCTATTTGATACAAAAAACTCACATTTAAAATTGAAAACAATTTTCTTAAGATAAAAGATATTTAACTGGCTCAGACGCGGTTGAAAACTTTCGAGTTCTGGTTAATTCAAACACACATATACCTGATGCAGCGAGCAAACTAGTATCAATAAATAGAATAGCTGTTCATCATGATTACGATGTAACACAACATACATGGAACAAAAGTGAATATTTTGTTGTCGTTAAAGCAGATATTGGTAATAACTATTTTTTATTGTCGTTAAAGCAGATGCTGGTAATAATTATTTTTTATTGTCGTTAAAGCAGATATTGGTAATAATTATTTTTTAGTATCGTTAAAGCGTTTTTTTATCGTTAAAGCAGATATTGGTAATAATTATAATAATAAAGCGTTTTATTATCGTTAAGGCAGATATTGGTAATAATTATTTTTTAGACGATATCATAAGAAAATTATTATGTGTAGATAAAGATAAAGTATTAGATTAGATTAGATAAAGAATACCATTGCCGATATATATAAAATTGATTTGTAGTGTAAATAAGTATTGTATAATTAAAAAAAAAAGCTGTAAACAATAAGTTTTATTTCAATTTACTATTCAATTGTTTTTGCTTTATTAAATGATGTAATGGTTATTTATTTTGCTGTGAAAAGCAATCTTAGAACTTGCAGAAGATTTGGATTTATTGCAAGACTTTATTAGTTCTATATGTTTGCCAGATGTTTTAAATCCATTTGCTGAGGTAACAGATTGTTATATAATTGGTTGGGGACATGTTATTTTTAATGACAGTATAACAGATCGGTTAAGACATGCAAAAATACCCACTGCTCCGTATAACATGTGCAATGCTAATAACTCATTTGACAACAATGTAGAGTCGTTTCACAGTATATGTGCAGGTTTTGCAAACGGCAGCATCAGTCCATGTAACTTTGACAGTGGTGGAGCATTAGCTTGTAAAAAAAATGGTAAACTTAATTAACTTAAATATTAAATATATATAGTGCACAATATGCTACTTGGTATTTGGTGTTTTTACGTGAGGGGTTCCTACTTAGCTAGCACACCAGGTTGGCCCAACGCTTCCGACCATGTTTTGATGTTGGCCCAACGTAGTGCGTTAGCTAGGTATATATGGTGTTTCTAGGCACTTTATGCTTATGCGTGATTTTTAATTAAATGTATTTATTTAATGTATTAAAAACATCTTTTTTTATTTTGATTTCGTTGTTGTTAAGGTTTTTTGTTTACGTTTTACGAGCCCAAAGGTAAAATTAAGTAATTTTAACAGGCACCTAGTCGCATAGCGTGTGTGTGTAAACAAAAAAATATCAACCTAAGTATTAAATTATGTGTGTTTGTAATAATAAAAAGTGAAATCAAGTATTGTTATCAGCTACCTAGATGCTTCATGTTCTTTATTCACAAGATTATGACATTTAAGGCTTCACTTAAAAAGCAGAGTTTAAACATCATTATGTAGAATGACCTAACATCTACGCCACTACCCTTAATGGTATTCATTTTTTATGAAAAATAAAAAAATATAGTATTGGGGCTGTCCATAAATTATGTCAGTAATTTTTATCAATTTTTTAACTCACTCCCCTCCTTAATAAGTTCTGTCAATTTTACGCCAACCCTCTCTTATATATGATGTCAGTTTTTGTACCCCCTCCCCCTAAAGTTACATTAAAAATATGTGTTAAAACCATTGATTTTTTTCTGGTTAAATTATTCATTTATATAATAGTAGATCTCATCAAGTTATATTGATACCTCATCAAATAATAAACAAACTAATCAAACTTTTATTCTATATCTATAATATAAATTCAACAACTCATCATTTTCCTATGAGTTGTTAAAGTGATCTTCGATAATAATGACAATTGTATTTAAAATAATGACAAATGACTTTATGTGTTTGCTTTGAAGTGTATAATATAATCCGCTAGGCATCGAATAATGATTGTTAAATTTATATACAAATTGTAGATATTTTTAAACGTTTAGATTTTCAGTCAAATGGTAATGCAATAATAAAACGTTGGTAAATTTTTAATTTATTATATGTATTTAGGAAAATTACATCGAAGTCTCAAAGCAAATATGCCATTTCTAAACCACATTGTAGATGTAAATACCTTTAAAATCTACTCGTCTAAACTTGAATTTTTTTTGCTTAAATTGACATCATTTTGGTCTTAACACCCCCCTCCCCATTGTCAATTCTCGTCAAACTTTTCAGTACAAAAACAAATTTTTTTAATGTAGTATTGTATAACATTATTGTAGAATATACAATTCGTTTTAGCAGCGCAAAATATGTTTCTAAAACAATAGGCCTTCTCAAGAGCTACCGAGAAATCTCATAGGAAAGTCCAAGGTGGTTTTTGCACAAAATTATTCTAAAGAAATAGTGAAGACCTTGTGCTAAAAATAAATTACGGGATTCACAAAGCCAATTTTGGTAAAAAAAAAAAAAAAAAAAAAAAAAAAAAAAAAAAAAAAATTTGGGTGCACTGGAAAGGCCACCTAGAACAGCAATCCTGATTTTATCAAATTTTCCCTATATTACATATGAAGGACTTTTTTTTTTTCTTTTTTTTTTTTTTGCCCCTTGGATATCTACCGCCCGGAACAAACTGTGCCCCCCCCCATCCTCTCAGCGGCACTGCTCCTTATAGTAACAGCATCAGTAACATCAGAATAAAGCAGCATTAGCAAGCATAAACTTATAAAAAGTTGCAAAACATAGACTTTGATGCAGTAATCCGTATTTTTATTAAGAATATATATATATATATATATATATATATATATATATATATATATATATATATATATATATATATATATATATATATATATATATATATATATATATATATATATATATATATATATATATATATATATATATATATATATATACTCGTCGTAAAGAGGACGCTCTTGTCGCAATAAGTTCTTTGATATAATATTTTAATATGAATTTTTTAGTTTTTATATAAATTTTTTTCAAACATTAAAATTTGCTAAAAATTCACTAGTATATAATATAAAAGAAAAATATTCATTATTTTGAATTATTTTTGAAATTACTTCTCTTTATGGAGAGATGAAGTGTTATTAATAAATAAATAAATAATATAGTTGTTTTGAATATTTCCATAAAAAGAAGTAATTTCCAAATGCATTGCATTTTTTATTAAAATTACAAAAATGAAAATGCACAGTATGTTTTTAGGATTGTGGTATGAGCGAGGTATCACATCTAGCGGATACAAATGTGGTGGACCAAATGCTTACAGTTTGTATACGAATATAGTTTCTTTTGAAGATTGGATTATTAAAACAATAGTTAATGAAAATTATAAAATATCTGCGCGAAACCCTACTTCGTACGAAATAGAACGCTCATCAAGAGCAAACGCATTTAAACATAAATTTATAGAATTTTGTATCTTAAATATATTATTATATATATATATATATATATTAGTTGTTAAAAGTGTATCATTTTAGGAAGTAGTTAAATTTTAAATGCTTGTTAAAATTTGTCTTTTCTCCTCCATTTATGAAGGCAAACAGATTAGCTAAACAAACCACTTTTTAATGAAAATGTTACCAAAAAAATTTATTTCGGTAAAAACTGTACAATTATTTTTGACAGAAGTTAAAAAAGAAGAAAAAGAATTTATAGTTTACAATAAGATGCCAGTTGGATCATTTACTCTAAAGATTAACGTGAATACGCTAAAGCCTTAATGAAAGATATGAAAATGATGGATGTATTTGAAATAAATACCTATCAGCATTTAACCTTTATGCATCGATTTAATAGCAATCTCTCTTCAGATAACTTTAATAACAAGTTTGAAACAAATGAAAATGGAAACAATAACCTAATATAGAAATTTTTAAAACTTGAATTTTTATATTTTTATAGTACTTTTATATTTGTGCATATATTTTCTCGGAAGTCTCTTAATCATTTTTACAGTCTTTTCAGTCTTTTTTTTTTCTTTTTTTAGTTTTTTTTTTTCTTGTTTTGTTTAGTTTTTTTTTGTTTTTGTTTTTTTGTTTTTTATTTTTGTCTTTGCTTGTTTTAACTTTAACGCAGTAAAGAATACCATTTTACTTTAATAGTTTTATAGTTTTTCTGTTTTTAGTTTAAAATAAAAATGACTATATTTTATTAAAACTTTTTAAGGGGCTCTATGAAAAGATAGCGACGACGTATCGTCATCCTTATCTTCTTTGAGCCCTCTTTTGTTTAATTCTTTATTTAATAAAGATCATTACAAAATCCAATCTATTTTGTATTTTATATACAAAACGGTGCCTGGTGACAAAATGTATTTATTAAACAGCGAAACAAATGTGTATATATATATATATATATATATATATATATATATATATATATATATATATATATATATATATATATATATATATATATATATATATATATATATATATATATATATATATATATATATATATATATATATAATATATAAAACTAACAATAGCTTAGAAAAATTGAATTTTATCTGTGTCTCAGTTACGGTACATAAAAAAGTTATTCGTTAGAGAGTTTAAAACAAATCAAAATCTTGAAAAAAGATTAACGTAATAAGTCTTAGTCACGGTAGTTTAAAAAAATCGTGTAAAAGGTGACAAATAAGAATTAACGTTTTTAATTTAATTTTAATTAAGTAATGAACTTTACATGGTTAGAACATTTGTCTCTATATATTTTTGAAACTAAGGGTTTCTTAACTGTTATTAAGTTTACAACGTTATTACCGTTATTATTTAGTTTTAGTTTACAATGTTGAGGTTTCTCAACCGTTATTAAAAATAAAAACAAAATCTTGAAAAAATTAAAATCTAAAACAAAATCTAGAAAAAAACTAACGTTAAATGTCTCAGTAACGGTGGTTTAAACAAAAAAAATACTGTGTTATACGTGACAAGTAGGCATAAACATTTTTAAATCAATATTTAACTTTTCATAAATGATAAGAACATCTGTTTTTTTTTTTTTTATTTTTTTGAATTTAAAGGTTTCTCCACTGTTATTAAGTTTATAATGGCTTCGAAAGTTTGACTTTTCTCTGAATTTCCGTAACGGTTCCATAACAAATAATACATTCGAGAGTTTAAAGCAAATCTAAGTCGTGAATAAAAGTTCATGTAATAAGTCTCAGTAACGGTGATTTAAAAAAAAACGTGTAACACGTTACAAATAAGCATAAACATTTTTAATTCAATTTAAATAAAATATTTAACTTTTAATAAATGGTTTGATTATCTTTTTTTATATAGTTTCGAAATTAAAGGTTTCTCAACCGTTATTAAGTTTACAATGGCTTAGAATGTTTTACTTTTCTCTGAGTCTCAGTTACAGTGCATCTAAAGTTTATGCATTTGAGAGTTTAAATCAAATCAAAATCTAGAAAAAAGATTAACGTAATTAGTCTCAGTAACGGTGGTTTAAAAAAATATAGCGTAAACGTTTTAAAATCAATTTATATTAAGTTTTTAACTTTTTACAAATGAAAAGAATATTTATTTTTATATTTTTTTGAAATTAAAGGTTTCTCAACCGATATTAAGTTTACAATGGCATGGAAAGTTTGAGTCTCAGTTACGTTGCATGAACAAATTATACATTAAATCTCAAATTCAATCAACATATCAGTCTTATCGTACATAAAGCTATGTCAAGAGCTTTATTAAAATCATTTTAAAATCTTTTTATTCACGAGATAGATTGCTGATGGTTAAAGCCTACTGTACATATGTACAACCTATGCTTGAATATTGCTCTTCAGTATGGTCACCTTACACTATATGCCTGATTAATAAAGTTGAGAAAGTACAGCGTTTCTTCACTAAAAGGTGGTATGTGGTTAGTTTAAGCGTCTAGCCATACTAAAGCTTAACACGTTAGAATATCGACGAGTGTTTAAAGATTTAGTTTTATGCTACAAAATTCTTAACGATAAACTGGACACTGACCTATCAAACATTCTTATTCTCAATTCTTACTTGAATAATCGAGGTGATAACTTTAAACTGTACAAACACCATTGTAGTTTAAACAGCACAAAGTGTTTCTTTTCTAATCGAATTGTTAATGTGTGGAATAGTTTATCGGAGGATGTGGTGTCTGCATCGTCTTGATGTTTAAGAAACGTCTTGCTGTACTGCTTTGTTCAAGTTAATACAATTTTGTTGTAACTTGTCGAGCACTTGAAACAATTTAATATATCAGTAAAAAAAAAATGTATACTCAGTGTTAGTGGCCTTCGGGTCCTTCTGTTGTTTTCAAATAAATAAATAAATTAGAGAGATTAAAACAAATCAAAATCTAGAAAAGAGATAAGTCTCAGTAACGGTGGTTTAAAAAAATTGCGTGAAAAATACGTGGCAAGTAAGCATAAACATTTTTAATTTAACTTATATTAAACATTAAACTTTTAATACGTGTTTAGAATATTTATTTTTATATATTTTTGAAATTAAAGGTTTCTTAACTGTTATTAAGTTTACAATGGCTTGGAAAGTTTGACTTTTCTATGAGTCTTAGTTACGGCGCATCAACAAATTATACATTAGAGAGTTGTACTCAAATCAAAATCTAGAAAAAAGATTAAAGTAATAAGTCTCAGTAACGGTGGTTTAAAAAAAAAGCGCGCAATACATGACAAAATAAACATAAACGTTTTTAATTCAATTTAAATAAAATATTTAACTTTAAGTACATGATTTGAATTTTTTTTTTAATATATTTTTGAAACAAAAGGTTTTTAAACCTTTATTGAGTTTTCAACGGCTTAAAATGTTTGACTTTTCTCTGAGTCTCAGTTACGGTGCATCTAAAGTTTATACATTTAAAACAAATCAAAATCTAGGAAAAAGATTAAAGTAATAAGTCTCAGTAACGGTGGTTTAAATAAAAGCGTGTAATAGGTGACGAATAAGCATAAAAGTTTTTTAATTCAATTTAAATTGTATTGAACTTTTAATACATGGTTAGAATATTCATTTTATATGTATTTTTGAAGCTAAAGGTTTCTCAACCGTTTTAAAGTTTACTATATTATTAACGTTGTTATTGAGTTTTAGTTATTAAGTTTACAATGTTGAGGTTTCTCAACCGTTGTTAAGTTTACGTAAAAAAAATCTAGAAAAATGATAAATGTAATAAGCCTCAGTAAAGGTGCTTAAAAAAAGAAGCATGTAATTTCTGACAAATAAGCAAAATCATTCCTAGTTCAATTTAAATTAAATATTTAACTTTTAATACATGGTTAGAATATTTATTTTTATACCTTTTTGAAAATAAAGGTTTCTAAACCGTTTCTAAGTTTACAACGGCTGAGAAAGCTTGACTTCTCTCAGAGTCTTAATTACGGTGCATCAAAATTATACATTAGAGAGATTGAAATAAAACAAAATTTAAATGAAAGATCAAGTTAACAAGTCTCAGTTACGGTGCTTATAAAAGAAGCATGTAATAACTGACAAATAAACATAATCGTTTTTAGTTCAATTTAAATAAAATATCGAGTTTTTAACGTAATTATAATGTTTATTATATATATATTTTTTTTTTAAAAAAAAGGAGTCTTAACCATTATAAGGTTTACAACGGGAAAGGGGAGGAAGGTTAATTTTTTGTTTGTTTGTTTTAATTAATTATTCTTTAGAAAATTTTTTTAAGAATGTTTAAAAGCAACTCAGTTTTTGTAATTCTTGGTGGTTGGCGTTGTACTTTTATTTCTAACATTTTTAAGATAACAAAAACTTTAAGATTTAAAAAAATATATATTTATGTAGAACTCTTTGCGTGTAAAGTTACCCAACTTTATGCTTAAATATATGCAATTTATAATTGGATTGGATATATTTTGAATAAACAAAATTTTGCGTTGAAACAAAAATGAGTTTTATAATGTGTAAAAAATTCCTTTTATTTAACTTATCTGTAAAATACTTTGCAGGTAATTTTGAAAACTAAATTAATTCCAATTATAATGAAATAAATTGTAGCAAGAAGCAACAGATTAGTTTTAATAAACTTCTTCAGAAGCTTCCATACTCTCGCGGAAAGTGTGGAGTTTTCCTCCACACTTTTGTGTAGCTATCACTCCTAGGCACAAGTGTGGAGTTATTTTGCACACTTTTGTGGAAATTACCTTTTTCTAAATCAACCTCTGCATAGAAATGTGGAGTTATTTGCACAAAATTGTGCAAAATAATTATACACTTGTGTCTAGGAGCGATAGCAACACACTGGTATGGAGGAGAACTCCACACTTTCCGCTAGTGTGCAGTAGTTGACAAGTTTTATCATACAAAGTTTCCTTTACCAGCGTAGTTATCTTTAATAAAGTCAACAATAAGTTATCTTTTTAAAATAAAAAAAATTATATACGATTAATGCTCAGCAATTCATAAATTTGCATCAAAGAACTTGAATACTTGTATTATTTATACAAATATAGTTTTAATAAAAATATATAT